TATAAGAAGTTTAATCTGATATATTTTTGGCAGGAATTCAATAAGTTAACTCAGGCTTGCCTCAAATTCACAATGCCCAAAAGCTGGCATTACAGATGAAACCCACTTAACACCCTGCCTGATACTCTGCATATTTGGTCATACTGGGATTTCAACTCAGGGCCTTCACTTGCCAGGCAAACTTTCTTCCTAACCTTTTTTGTTTTTCAGTTCATCTTTCTGGTAGGGTCTTGTGCTTTTTGCCCAGGACTGGTGTAGGATCGTGATCTTCCTATATCTGCCTCCTAAGTAGGTAGGATTACAGGCAGGTGCCGCATGACTGGTTCGTTTTTTTTGAGTTGGAGCCTTAATAACTTTCTTTGCTGAGACTGGCCTCAAATCATGATCTCCATCTACTGAATGGCAGGGATTACAGATGTGTAGCATCATACCAATAGTCTGTTTTTTTTAAGCTACTTATTTTTTTAAAAAAAGATACTTTTGGAACAAGCAGGCAAATATCCTAAGAAATGGGTATTTGCTGAAAATAATTAGTTAATAATTTTATTGTAGAGATAATAATGTGTGCTGGTTATATTTAAAAATTCTCCTAAGAGAGGCATACTGAAGTTTGTATGGGGGAAATAACATTAGAAGAGAACCACTTTAACCACTGCCACAAAAGCTAGGTGTGGTATACATTTAGATTGTAAGAAATCACATCAATCTTGGTAGGAAGCTTTACCAGATGGCCTCGAACTAATCAAATTATCTCTCTTTTTCATTTATAATTCTTACTAACTATAGAATATGCTGGAATGCAACATCCTGAAACAAGGAGGCAGCGCCTGGAACACTCTTGCTTTGAACCAGTAGGCCTTAGAACCAGAATGTCCTTAACAATTCCTCTACTGTGTCATGCGGCCCCAGGACACAGAACCCAGTTAGTCTACTTGAAACTTTCAAGGTCCCTCAGCTACACAAGTGAGATGCAAGACTCCTTGGGAAGCCTTCCTGACTACTGGGGACCAGTGGCATAATGAATCTTAGCTTCTGTTGTCCTCTCTGTTGCTGCCTACATGTAAATAATAACTCTGCTTCATATAGCTTGTTCTCTGGAGGTGTTCTGTTTCATTGGTGTTCAATCCATAGCAAGGCTGCTATGCTCCCAAAACAGCTTCCCATCAGTCATGTATGAATGCATATGTTTTAAGTGCTTAACAGATTTTGTGTGTGGGTGCATGCAAGTGTGGGCACACATGCTTTTGTGCATCAGTACTGGGGCCTCTCTTTCTCTCCAGCCATAGCTCCACTTTCAGGGTTGTTTTTGTTTTTGTTTTGTTTTGCTGGTTAATTGGAAATAAGAGTCTCACTAACTTTTCAGCCTGGGCTAGCTTCAAACTACGATGGTCAGAGCTCAGCCTCCAGAGATGCTAGGGTGATAGGCATGAGCCACCAGTGCTCAGCTAGACGAACAGTTCTTTAGAATAACTAAATGAACAACATAGTACTTTTGGCTATTTTGGAAATTAATTGACCCCATGGTGAACATATATCAAAGCCTTCAGTCCAGATGGTTCCATGGTTTAGGAAGATATCCGTAGGAGAAGGTCAATGCAAAGAAGTTAGGTCAAAAATAACCTTGAGGAGATAAATGTTCCAAGGCTAAAAATGTATTCTAAGGAGCCTGGCCTGGTGGCTCACACCTGTAAGCCTAGCTACTCAGGAGGCTGAGATCTGAGGATAGTGGTTTGAAGCCAGTCTGGGGAAGAAAAGTCCCCGGGAGACTCTTATCTCTAATAAACCATCAAAACCAGGAATTAAAGCTGTGGCTCAAAGTGGTAGAGTGCTAGCCTTGAGCAAAAGAACTCAGGGACAGTGCCCAGGCCCTAAGTTCAAGTCCCACAACCGACAACAAAAACTGTATTCTAAGGACTTCTGAAGGAGAGAAGAAAATACTAACATTCATGGAGGCAGCGCACACTAGGCTTTTCTCGGATTCATTTTTCTAGTGACCCTGTAGGAAAGGTAAGATTGTGTCTGTTTTAGGAATGATACAATTAAGGCTTCAAGTAAATGTTCACAAGAGTTACTTAGTGACAGTTCTATGAGCTTCTGGTTGCCTTTAGCTTAGTAGAGATAGTGTAAAAAAAACAAATGAGACAAACAACACATTTTGTTGAGAAGAAAGAATGAAAGAATGTCAGCTCTGCTATTAATGTGTCTCTGGGTACAAACATTTTCTCCCAGCCTATTTCTCCCCCCACCCCCTCCTACCCCCCTGCTTTTATTCTTTGTGCTAAAGTCAAGGTCTGGGAGTGTTTTTCCTTAGCTTTTTCTGCTAAAGGCTGGAATTCTTTGGGCCATTTTTCTCCAGTTCTGGCTTTTTGGTGCAAATTATGGTCTCATGAACTTGCAAGCTTGGGCTGGCTTCAAACTATAATGTTCAGCTCTCAGCCTCCTAAGTAATAGGATTACAACCTTGTTTCTTCCATTTTTAAAGGAATAATAAAGACACCTTGGCAGAATTGAGGTAAGGAACAACTGATACAATAGGGGAAAGCAATCTCAAAACTGTAAAATAATTAACAATAAACATATTAGATAGTGCCATACTTCAAAAGTACAACCAAACTCACAACCAAATACTGGGATGATACTCGGACGTGGGTGGGTGGGTGTAGTGCTTGTAACTTCCTGTATGGCCCTATGATAACACTGTATTTGTTTTCCCAAGTTCATTTCCCAAGCACATTAATAACTTAGATCCTACAACTTTCCAGGTAATAACAGAGCCAATTGATGCTCTTCCTGAGAAATGGATTTGAGGGCTGGAATATAAGTGGTCTAGTGCGGGCACAGAATGTGTCAAGTCCCTGAATTCAGTCTCCACAGCTGGAAAAACAATGAACATGTTTGTTATATTTCCCAAGATTGTGAAAAACATGTAAGAGATTAACTTTGACCTTCTGGGCTGTATTAATTGGGTCACTGTGACATATAAAAATGTACTGTAAATTATGGCCTGCATGATTTGTATTATTTGTATATGAAAACAGTATGAATAGTGGTTATGGTATAAGACTGTATGCATAACTTGCATGTAACAGTCTTTAAGAAAAATACACATTAGATAGAACATGTGGATGGACAGTAAGGAACTGGTAGATTGTATCTGGAGAGGTAAGATAGGTAGGTAGGGGAACAGGGCTTTCACCCCTTATCCTTCCCACCTTTCTTTTGAACTCTGAACTATTTTCTTACCGCCTTACTGCTAACAGAGGAATTTTAGAAAAGTAATGTGTAGAAGGTAAGGCTAACACAAAAGGGCAGTATTTTCTATCCTTGTCTTTATTTCAACTATTAATATAAAGCATGAAACATGAAGCTACTTTGTTTCCATTACGATCGTATCTTTGCGGGGGAGGTAAGCATATTTAACTTTTCTGAATAAAATAATCTTTCCCTCCTCATTTTGTAAGGCTTATTCATTAGAAGTGTTGTGTTGAGCAGAGGGAGTTATTTTCTAAGATTGCTGTCACTAAGGGCAGGTAGGCTGGCCATTTTAGCCCTGAGCCAGGAGAGAAACACGAAGTGAAAGAATGAAAGAACGAGGACGGCGGAGGGGGCCCATCCGGCCTCCTTCAAGGCTGGGGGGGGGGGGTAAAAGCACCGCTGCTGGATAGAAGTAGGGTTCAGATATGCCACCACGAGGGAAAGATTAGGACTTCTGGGTCTGCTTGTCTATCTATCTATCTATCTGTCTGTCTGTCTGTCGAAATAGGTTTCGTTTATGCCACCATGCACCATGAGGGAAAGATTAGGACTTCTGGGTATGCTCATCTATCTGTCTGCCTGCTTGCCTGTCTGTCTGTCTGTAGAAGTAGGCTTCATTTATGCCACCATGTACCAAGAGGGAAAGATTAAGACTTCTGGGTATGCTTGTCTGTCTGTCTGTCTGTCTCTGCCTGCCTGCCTGTCGGTCGGTCGGTCTGTAGGCTTCATTTATGCCACCATGTACTGTGAAGGAAAGATTAGGACTTCTGGGTATGCTCATCTGTCTGTCTGTCTGTCGAAGTAGGCTTCATTTATGCCACCATGCACCATGAGGGAAAGATTAGGACTTCTGGGTATGCTTGTCTGTCTGTCTGTGTCTGTCCGTCCGTCTGTCCGTCCAGGCTGATCCTTGCGGACCCTTCCCCTTCCGCCGAAGGGGCGCCGCGCCCGGGGTCAGATCGGGTCCCCGCGCCCCGTGGGCCTCCACGCACGGTGACCTCGCCGGCTCCTCTCGGGCCGTGACGGAAGGGACTTCACTTCGGAAGTGAAGCTCCGCCTCTTTTGAGAACTTCTGAAATTAAAGATCCCACTTACACCCAAACCAACCTCTTTTCCTGGTGCCCTCCCGGGCCTTAGCCCGCGTCCCCCCCGGCGGAGCGCGGGA